CCTCAGATCTCAGCCTCCTGAGTAGCTAGGATTACAGGCATGAGCCACTGGTGCCCGGCGCTTCTTCCATTGTTCTTGTGCCACCACCTGGCACTATGCCGTTTTCTTTCTAGCTGTTCTCTTTGGTTAACATTTACCACAGCACCAAAGGACACAGTGGGATGGATGATACAGAAAGACTGAGCAGGGAGGATCCGAGTATAGGCTTCTGAGGACTCCGACAGAGTCAAGGTCTTGGGCATCAGCCAAGGAAAACTGACCTGTTCTGAACCTGTTTTTTTGTTTGGAATGCAAAGATGCAACAAATGCTTCTGGTTGTCAGGGCCTCTGCTGCTCCTCAGCCTCTCGGCTTTTCTAGTGGATTTTCCGGAAGTGCCCCTTTAATTTTTGGCAGTTTTCTGGAGGCTCAAGTGGCAAATGGCAGCTGCAGGATCCCTGGGCTTAACTTTGCTTAAGGCACCAGCCTCCCTTCCGTCTCTGCCCTGTATTCGAAAGTGATCGTGGGCTGCCTGTGTCCCGGTCATTGGTAGTGCAGGGAGAGGAATGGCTGAAAGACACTCTACCTGTAGAGTTTGGAGGGTTCCCTATCCCTTCTGAACTCTGAAACTTTTCCACATTCCTATTCCTCTCCTGCCAGCCTTTGTAGCAATCCAGAGCTTGCTGGGTTCCCACATGATAATAGATGCCAGAGCACGTCTTTGTCAGCATGGGATCCAGTTTCCCCAAGTAACCAGGGTCTCTCCATACCAAGGGATTGTGGCCAGCATGGAGTTTGGTGCTATCTGTCTGTGAAGGGCTCAGGGCACAGGTTACTCTTGAACTCTAATATTCAAGAATATTGGAAAAGGAATCAGTGAGTAGCACGGTGGCTGAAGGTGTGACATTGGCGAGTACTTCCACAGAGCATCTTCCTGAAGGTGCTTCCTCTGCATTACTAAAGCACTTGCATAGGAGGGTAAGGAGGAAAGGGAAGAGGAAATCCTCAGAGTGCAGGAGGGAGGCCTTGAGGCGGGAGGGAGTGGTGCTGGGGTGTGGGAGTGTGTCACCAAGAGGGAGTGCATGGGGCTCTGGTAGGAAACTTCTTGCTTGTTGCTCAGTTTTTGTGCTCTCCTGGTATCTCAGTAACTTTTCTGTTTCCAGCCTTTCACTCCTCTGCTGTTTGTCCTGGCCTCCTGAGATCCCTTGAGAATGCCGGGTTCTCAGGCTAGCCTGGAAAGGATGATGATGACGCTGGAGGACGAGGGAGGTAGCTTGCCCTGGGATGTGTTCTCAGGCATGGGTCTCTGGTTCAGCTTCCAGCACAGGAGGATAAAGAGAATGGGTGGGAAGACATTCTGCAGCTCTTTTCAGCCCCTGCCACCCCTAATTTGCGAGGTGGATTTTAATTGTGGTTGAATTATGTATGTTGTGAGAGCTGGTTGTGAGAGCTGATTGATGTAGCTTCTCTCTTCAGGCTTGTCAGCTGACCTCTGTCCTATGTGCTCAGCAGCCCCATGTCTTTAAGAAGAGTCTAGAACAGGATGCTTTTAAGGTAAGAAACCTGGGCATTTCTTTAAAGAGCACAATATAAAAGTTCAGGGTCAGAGTTCCCTTGGGTTCTGTATCTCAGCCTCCTGGTCCACAGTGCCAGTTGCACTGGGAGAAAGGCTGCATTTGGCATCAGGCAGTTGGCTGGGCAGCTTGCTCTGGACGTGGTGGGATCCATGGGAATCTTGGAATTCCTGGTCTAAGGAGTCCCCAGGTTTGGCCTTCCCTCTTTTAGGAAGGTGTTGCAGCTGTAGTTCTCAAGTTCTGGTTCCTGAGCCAAATGCCATCCGTGTCACTTGGGTGTTTTGAAAGTACAGGTCCTAAGGGTTGGGAGAATGTTTGCCTCACATGCATGAGCCCCGGGGTTCAATTCATCTGTACTACATAAGCAAAAAGGCCAGAAGTGGTACTGTGGCTCAAGTGGTAGAGGGCTAGCCTTGAGCTGAAGAGCTGAGGGACAGTGCTCAGGCCCAAAGTTCAGGCCCCATGCTGGATAAAATAATAAATAAAAAGTGTAGGTCCGCGGCCCGTTGTGTGGTGAATGAGAAATTTGAGTCTAGAGCCCACAATTCCCATTAGTATGCTCTCTGGGTGATTCTTAGCCATGCTAAAGTGAGCAAAGCCCGTGTAAGGGAACCTTAGGAAACTGGGCAGCTGCTGCAGTTATGAGCTGTCTGTCTATTGGCTATCTCATGGCCTCATCCTAGTGTGGTTCTTCCCTAAGCCAGAGGCAATGACCTCTCTTCTCAACTGTTAACCCCTGTATTCGAAAGTGATTATGGGCTGCCTGTGCCCTGGTCATTGATAGTGCAGGGAGAAGAACTGCTGAAGGCCTTTTCCCCGTGTTTGGAGGGTCTGCTTCATCCCTTCTAAACCCTGGTGCTTTCCTACATGTCTCCCTTCTTACCAGCCCTGCTTCCTCTCAGGACCCAGCGCTGGGGCATATGGAAGGAGGGTGGAAGCCGGGTTTGGTTTTTCCAAGTTCTTGCATGGTTCCCCAAGCCATGCAGGTTTGTCCTCTTGAATGAATGGTGAGACTGGAGTGCTGGTCCTCACCACCCACATCTGGAATGCTTATAACCTGCCAGCCTCTGGGCCAACTGTGCTCTCTGTCTCTTGTAGGTGGGTTTGTTGGCACAAAGGCTTCATGGGACATGTCCTTCAGATGCAGGGCACCAGACTGTGAAGCCTAGCGGTAAGATTTGTGGAGTGTATGCTGGAATATTGCTTCCTTTTTTTGAGCCCTCTAATTCCATGTTCATGTCTCCCGAGGGACTGGGTGATGAAGTAGGGGGGTGGGGCGAGGTGAACTTGCCCCCATGTGCCTCAGTTGTGCCCTTTTCTGGGAACGGCCCCTCCTGCCCACAATAACTGCAGAAGAGGAGCCTCCAGACCAGACTCCTTCAGTGTTGGTTGCTCCTGAGCCCTCATCCTCCTCCTGAGCACTGGAGGGTCAGCAGTGAGAGGAGGAATGTGGGCTGGGGTACCACGGGCTCTGGGTTTCTTTGAATTTGTCTTACTTGGCCTTCCCAGCCTCTACTTTGTCTGACAAGGTAACTGGGATAGCAGGAATTTTATTGTTTTGTGTTTTTCTTGGTAGCACTAGAGATTGAACTCAGGATCTTACTTGCTCGGCAGATGTTGCACCACTTGAACCATGGCCTCAGCCCATTGTTTTTGTTTTTTGTTTTTGGTGCTGGATCAGGGGCTTGAATTTAGGGCCTTAGCATTTGTTCTCAAGGCTAGTGCTATACCACTTGAGCCATACTTCCAGTTGAGGCATCTTTTGGAGGGTGATTAATTGGAGATAAGACTCCCACTGGCCTTCCTTCCTGGTCTGGCTTCAAACTTTGATCTTCAGATCTCAGCCTCCAAAGTAGGTAGGATTTTGTTTAATAGCCAGGCTGGCCTGAATTGTAATCATCCTTGTATTTCCGTGTTGATCGGAATGGGATTATACAAATTTTTCTGTTTTGATTAGCCTTGACCCATAAACCCATCTCTACCTCCTACATAGCTAGGATTACAGGCTTGAGCCACTTTGCCTGGCTTTGTTTTGTTTCTCCACATTCTCCAGACCTAAAACATTTTTTTAAGGCTGGAAGTATCTTGACTGCCCTGTGGTGTTTGTAGGATACAATGGCAGCTGCTTGGGACCCTGCTCACCTGTACCGCTCTCCTAACTTGAGTCATTGCCCAGGCCCCTGGCACCAGCCTCCCTTCCTGGCTCTACCTCTGACCCTTCTGTCCTGCATCCGAAAGTGGTCGTGGACTGCCTGTGTCCCGGTCATTGATAGTGCAGGGAAAGGAATGTGGAGAGATGTTTCCCCGTGTTTGGAGGGCTTCCTTGTCCCTTCTGAACCCTGGAGCTTTCCCACACTCTGGTCTTTGCTGAGCTTGTGTGCTTTTTAGCTCTGTGCAGCCTGACTCAACCAGATCTCTGGCTTGTTGGGGTTCACTTTTGTCTTTCTAAGCTAAGCAATCACCTGCTGGACATCAGTCTGTGTGTTTCCACTTGGTCCCTATTTTGAGGAAAATCAGATGGCATCTGGGGCTTTAGTCACAGGCTCTGCTTTATGAAATCTGAAGGAGTGGGGGGTAGTCCACATAGTTAATGCACTATTCAAAGTGGCCTGTGACTTCAGGCTTGCTGCTGTCCTGTTTCTTGAGCGCTGAGATAGGCACTGCTTTCTCCATGAGCAACCAGGAAAAATCTCTGGAGAAAGAAACAGGGAAGGCCAGGCGCTAGGGCAAAGAGAAGCGAGAGGCTCTGTGATGAGCTGGGCCGAAGGCAGTGCTTGTGTGGTCTGGGAGCTGCTGGGATGGTTGCTTGAGCTTTGGTTGGTGTGCAGTGGAGCCTCCTTGCCCAGCTCCTGGCAGTGGTCCTGGGCTGTCTTCCTGCCCTGATAGTGAACCACTAGAAAGAAAAACCTACTGACTCTAGAAACAATTTTTCTGATATTTTCTCTTTTTTTTTTTAACCCTCTCTGTCCTTGGGGTTTCTGAAACTTTTTAACAGCTACTAGGGTTTGAACTCAGGGCCTTGTGTTTGCCAGGCAAGTGTGCTACCATTTGGGGAGGGGTGTTTTGCGGTGTGCATAAACTAGAAGCTTAGGACTGCTGGTGAGGCCCTCTGTGATTAGCTTGGGAAGTAACGGTCATGAGAGGCCCAATACTTGTCTGCTTCCTCCTAGGTCTCCCTCTGAGATCCAGAGACTATCAAGGGAGCTGAGTCCTCAGATCTGAGGCCCCAGAGCCAGAGCCCCTCAAGGAGTACCCAAAGTACCGAGTATTGTGCTGACATTCTCATCAAGGTGAGTCACTGACAGGGCTGGACCCACAGCCAGGGCCTATGCAGCTTTGTGCTTATGTAGGTGGATTCCTAAGCCATCAGTCTCATTGACTGCCCTCTCTTGTAGGTTCTCTTGGTGTTGATTGTGGATACCAGGATTTAGAGTGCAGAGAAGGGTCACCACATGAATCAGCTCTTCTCTCTGCACAAGAAGCACAGATGTGATACTCTAGCCTGCTAGTCTTGACCACAGTGCCTATGAGGGCTGAAAGCCCCATGTCTATCTTTCCAGGCCTGGAATGACTAATAAACTCTTCCTCTAGATTTATGGCAGCCTTTAATCTTTTGTCACCTGATTCAATGAACTATGTAGATGGCCACTCTGCCTTTGGAATCAGTAACAAGCCTGTGAGCCCATGGGGCAGGGGTGTAGAAAGACAAGCCAAAGGCTTGAGTTTCTTGGAGGGTGTTGTTTGGTGTGTACAGTTAGAATGACATCGAAGATTGAGGCTCCCTTCAGAATGAGGACATTGTGGAATAAGCCAGTGTCCATGGGATATGGAATGAAATGGCTCTGGTGTCATTAAGGAAGGCCAGGATGTGCCAGGGTTCTGAGACGGTGTTGGATGGAGCAGTCCCTACAAAGTGGGACTTCACTGTTAAAGACAGGGATGGTGGCCAGGCTAGGACTGTAAAGTGCATGACAAACAAACTGAGGCCTTGGTCAGGCTAATCTGTACCATCCATGGGATGATGGGCATCAGGAGCTCCACCCTATTTTGCGGAGGGTAGGTCTGCATGGCAGAAATAGATCACAGGGAAATTGAAACCTTAGGTGGTATAAGCATTCTCAGGCCAGAACCCTGTCAACTAGCAGCAGAAGTATCCAGAGCCCTTCTCTGTCTTGCCGTGCTTTTAAAGGCCATCCCTTTCAAACATTGAAGGGGCTGCAGGAAGGCATCTGGGGCCACTGCTGAAGAAAAGGAGCAGCAAGATGCAGGCTAAGACCAAAGTTCTGTGTGTAGAACCTAGGCCATGCTACCTGGCACCAGGTCATGTGCTTTGAGGGGTCCTGAAATTATTCACACTGTCCATATCAGTATTTGCCTGAATGGTCAGTATGCTTGCAAATTAATCTGAGAATGGGAAATAAGGTAGTCAGATCTGCCAGGAGACTGTCTCACTGTCTGCAAAGCTCAAGCACTGCTTGTATGCCGGGCCTTCAGCTGAAGGCCACCATACCAATGGTGTGATCCAAAGCAGGAATCAGATCTGGCGGGTGGTGGCTTGTGCCAAGGGATCACTTCCCAAACCAACTTTGATAGGGCTGAAGAAGACGCTGAGGCGAGCTGCTCACAGGATAGTAGACAGGCACCCAGCAACTCAAATTACAAGTCAGATCCCACCAGTGGATACCAGAATGACTAGAACCTACAAATCCTGAGAAGTAAATGTAAGTTAAACATAGAAAGACCAATAAGGCCATTGTACCTCAAGTTCTGTGAGAAATGGCCCAACAGCTGAGAACAGCAGAGCTGTGACTGGAAAAACCATGGTCTCAGGTATGTACTTATGAGTCTCAGTCTATGGCAGAAAGCATTTTGACTGAATTTTGGTATGACCCTTGATAAAGACCATCAAGGAAAAATCTTGAGGCCCACAAAGTCAGGTTTGGTGGCAGTGTCTGGAGGCATTTTTGGTTAACTGAGAGTATATGACAGCTAGTGGGTAGAGGGTAGGGATGCTGATACATAAAGATTGTTGAATGAATGGGTGATAGAAGCACAATTCGAAGGCAGATACTCTTGCTTCAACTATTATATTTTTGACCAGGTATGAATGTGTTAGTGAATTTTGTAATGAAACAAGGCTTGTTCAATCAAAATTGTTCTTTCTCTGTGCATTGTTCCTATTAGACTAGAAATTGGCAAACTGACCCACTGCCTATTTTTTGGTGTATGAAGTTTTGTTGAAATAAGTGTTGGTGTAATAAATAACATTTGCTGTCCAGAAGTTGCGTGTTTCTGTGGTCCCATCTCCGCTATAAGAAGTACTAGAATTATAAGGCAGAATGGAACCCAAGTTGTTCTCCCCAGGGTCAATCCAAGAGACTGCACAGGGATGTGAGAAGGACTTTAATAATGGAAGAGAAAGGTTGGGAAGTTGTCTTCAGATAGATGTAAGTCCTTCTGTCCTTCTGGGGACCTTTCCTGTAAGAGGAGGCAGAATGGCTGAAGCCTGGGTCAAACGAGCAGGTCCAGCTGTAATGTTTGTCTGCTCTTCCAGTCACAGATAGTCTTGTCTTCAGCCTAATTGATATCAGCCCCTAAAAGCAAGAAATTCTATAGAGAACAAAAAGGATAGTCAAGAAAGGTCATTTAGCAGGGCACCGATGACTCGTGCCTGTAATCCTAGCTACTCAGGAGACTGAGATCTGAGGATCATGGTTCAAAGCCAGCCCAGGCAGGAAAGTCTCTGAGACTTATCTCCAATTAACTGCATGTGGCACTGTGGCTCAAAGTGATAGAGCACTATCCTTGAGTGAAAAGGGCTCAGGGACAGTGCCCAGTCTGAGTTCAAACCCCGCAACCAGCCAAAAATTAAAAACAAATTAACTTGCTTCCTATAAAGGAAGTCTGTGGCAGGGCCAAGTTTTTGGATTTAGAAGCCAGGCCAATGCAAAAACCAAGCCTTTAGGCCTTGAAAGTCTTACTAATACGCTGTCCCTTTCAGCTCCCTGCCTCCTGAGCTATTGCTTTCCAGTTTCCAGAAGACATCCGTAAATGTCATGTTCCTCTTCTCTCCAGCAGAACACAATACCTAAAGGCTGCCTGAGATACTCATTTTATGACATGGCTGTATAGCACTTTTTTCGAGTAAGAACATCATGAACAATGAAGGTGGCTAACTGGTGCCTCTGGATGTGGATTAAGAAGTGCCCTATTGATGTGGGTTTTTGTTTTTGTTTGGTGCCGGTCCTAGGGCTTGAACTCAGGGCTTGGGTGCTGTCTCTGAGCTTTTTTGCCCAAAACTACTTGAACCACAGCTCCACTAGTGGCTTTTATTAATAATTGAAGATAAGAGTCTCACAGATTTTCCTGCCTGCTCTAGCTTCGAACCTGGATCCTCAAATCTCCTGAGTAGCTAAGTGTGAACCAGTGGCACCCAGCTCACTATTGTTTACACCTCTGCCCCATGAGAAGGCTCCATTTTCCTTTAAGATCATCTAGGGTGGGAAGGCTGGCCAGTGGCCTAGGGGAATCATAACCAACCAGTAAGCTTCTAGGACCCTCATCCACCCAGAACTGGGACATCTGATCTGACTTTTTCTTCTTTTTTTTTCAGTTACAGGACTTGAACTCAGGACCTGAGTGCTGTCCCTGAGCTCTTTTTTTTTTTTTTTGGTCGGTTGTGGGGCTTGAACTCTGGGCCTAAGCGCTGTCCCTCAGCTCTTCAGCTCAAGGCTAGCGCTTTACCACTTGAGCTACAGCGCCACTTCCAGTTTTCAGGTGGTTTATTGGAGATAAGAGTTTTACAGACTTTCCTGCCTGGGCTGGCCTTGAACCTCGATCCTCAGATCTCAGCCTCCTGAGTGCTAGGATTACAGGTGTGAGCCACGGGCGCCCGGCTTCCCTGAGCTCTTTTGTGCTAGCATTCTACCACTTTGAGCCACAGTGCCACTTCCTGTTTTGTGGTAGTTAATTGGAGTTAAGAGTCTCATGGACTTTTCTGTCCAGGCTGGCTTTGAATTGTGATCCTCAGATCTTATCCTCTTGAAAAGCTAGGATTACAGGCATTAGCTACTAGCTCCTGGCTTGATATGGACGTTTGAGCATTCTGCACACATGGCTAACACATCGCTAACACGTATCTTGCATGTGTCAGGTACCCAGCACATGGACTGGATTGTTGGGAATGGAGCTACTCTACAGATGTCAAGATTGGTACCTGCTGTTGATGCTCTAAAGTTGAAAACAATAATTTGCCTATCTTTAAAAATGAGGCCTAGGATGTGTGGGAGTCGGGTTTCTCCCAGCTTCACCAAAGGTCTATGTCCCTTGACATAGTCCCATTTCTTACCTTGTGAACCTGGAGATCCATGTTCTTGAGGAAGGTGTCTCTTGGAAGAGGGAGTGGCAAACCCTCTTCAAGCTTTGCTGAAAGATGGACAGCAGAGAGGTGAGCTAGTGAGCTGGGCACACCAGGAAGTGTGAAAACAGATCACAACCTTGGGGTCAGTTCTAGCATTCAGGGGACATGTAGGCAAAGGTCTGGGGAAGGCAGCTCCTTCAGGGTGGACCACCATGGACAGCCCATTCAAGCGTCCCCCGCCACCACCCAAAGTGATGGGGCCAGCACACTGGTCCTCATTCCTGAGGTCCACCTCCTTCCCTTCTGTCTCTTTGCCAGGCCACTCTTGCTGTTCTTAGCTCTGGGGTGTAAAAGGCTAGGAAGAGACCAGTCGGAGAGATAAGGTGAGGGCTACTGATTTTCAGGCAGCCCTTGTCCAAGTTTACCTCCAACAAGGTCATATAGCAAGGTCACCTTGCTTGACCTAGCAAGTCTCCGACAGTCTCCTCTTCCATGTTTTACCTTCTCACCTTCTGATACCCAGCTTGCCCCCTCCTTCCTGATTTAGTCCACAATCAGTGCCTCTTCCCAGCTCCTATCCTTCATAGAGGACCCTGGAATCCTATGGAAAGGGTGGATCTTAGTTTTGGAGCTATTCTTACCATTGAGGGAGGGATATATAGTGTTGAGTACATAGTAATTCAAGATTGCATTCATCAACGGCATCTAGAGCATAGGAGGGGCCAGAGCAAAAAGACCAAGACAGGAATGAGATAGTCAATGGAAGAACATCTGACCCAACCTCTGGATCATTGACCTGTCATAACCCCTACCATACTCCTAAAGCCAGACCCCCACGTCTCATCACTCTCCCTAAATGTAAGCTCATTTGATGGTGCGCCATGGAGCTTGAACTCAGAGCCTAGGCACTGTCTCTGAGCTGCTTTTGCTCAAGGCTAGCACTCTTATCACTGGAGACACAGCTTCACTTTCATCTTTTTTTTTTTTTTGCCAGTCCCAGGCCTTAAACTCCGGGCCCTGGCACTGTCCCTAAGCTTTTTGCTCATCGCTAGCGCTCTACCACTTAAGCCACAGCACCAATTCTGGCTTTTTCTGTGTATGTGGTTCTGAGGAATCGAACCCAGGGCTTCATGCATGCAAGGCAAACACTCTACCACTAAGCCACTTTCCCAGCACTTTCATCTTTTTTGTTGTTTTCGTGGAAATAAAAGTCACATAGACTTTCCTTCCCAGAGTGACTTTGAACTGCAATCCTTAGATCTTAGGCTCCTACGTAGCTAGGATTACAGGCATGAGCTATGGGTGTCCAGCTATATGAGATATTTTGTCATCATGTCTTGTTTGACTCATTGTCTACCTACTATAGCTACCACTTGAGATAGATGCTATTACAATTTGAGGAAGTAATGTTCAGGAAGGTAAGTGACTTGCTCATGGTCCCACAAGCAGGTAGCAAGGCTGGTATCTTGCTCCAAAGCTCAGGCCCTCTGAGCTGTGCCCTCTTCAGCCTTTAGAACCCCTCATTCATCAATAGCTTTCAGATCTGGGTATCCTATCTGGGACCTTGGCATATGTCCTGGGGCCCATGAAACTGCTAGGTACTGAGAAAATAACTCACATTGATGTAACTGACACTGGAGTGGTTCAGTTCCAGTTCCAGTTTGCTGCATGGAGAAAGAAAGAAGCATGTGTGAAGAGTAAAATTAGCAGGACACCCATGGCTCACTCCTGTAATTCCAACCACTCAGGAGGCTGAGATCTGAGGATTATGGTTCAAGGCCAGCCAGGGCAGGGAAGTCTATGAGACTCTTATATCCAATTAGCACCAAAAAGCTGGAAGTGAAACTATGGCTCATGTGATAAAGCACCAGGCTTCAGTGAAAATGCTAAGGGACAGTCTCCAGGCAATGAGTTCAAGTTCTAGTACTGGCATACACACAAAAAGGTAAAGTGTTCTGAGTAATTATCCAAAAGAAATTATGATGGTATAAATACTAAGTAGGAAGAAAGAATGCACTGTTTCCATTTACATAAGAAATGCATGTAGTGTGTGTGTGTGTGTGTGTGTGTGTGTGTACACCCAGAAACAAAAACAAAAATGCACTTCTTTTGACAAGTGCCACTGGCTCATGCCTGTAATCCTAGCTTCTCATGAGGCTGAGACCTGAGGATTGCAGTTCAAAGCCAGCCTGGGCAGGGAAGTCCATGAGACTCTTATCTCCAATAAAGCACTCAGAAAAAGTGGCACTGTGGTGCAGGTAGTAGAGTACTAGCCCAGAGAGGCCCAAGGACAGAGTCCGGGCCCTGAGTTCAATCCCTAGGACCAGTAAAACAACAAAACAAAAAACAACAGAGCCCTGTGGACCTTCCTGCTCTTGCTAGCTTCAAACCACAATCCTCAGATCTCAGCCTCCTGAGTAGCTAGGATCACAGGCATGAGCCAGTGGCACTTGTCAAAAGAAGTGCATTTTTGTTTTTGTTTTTGGGTTCAGTCATGGGGCCTGAACTCTGGGCCTGGGCGCTGTCCCTCAGCTCTTTAGCTCAAGGCTAGCGCTCTACCACTTGAGCCACAGCGCCACTTCCGGCTTTTTTCTTTATGCTTATGTGGTGCTGAGGAATCGAACCCAGGGCCTCATGCATGCAAGGCAAGGGCTCTACCACTGAGCCACCTTCCCAGCCCAAGAAGTGCATTGTTTTATTTTATTTTTGGGGGTCCGGTCATGGGGCCTGAACTCGGCCTGGGTGCTGTCCCTCAGCTCTTCAGCTCAAGGCTAGCGCTCTACCACCTGAGCCACAGCGCCACTTCTGGCTGTTTTCTTTTTTTGCTTATGTGGTGCTGAGGAATCGAACCCAGGACCTCAGGCATGCAAGGCAAGCGCTCTATCACTGAGCTACCTTCCCAGCCCAAGAAGTGCATTTTTGAAAGACTGGTGTTTTCCAGAGACATCTAGTGAGCTAGACTGATGGTTCTGGCCACAGCTGTGATATATTCTTCCCTCTCCCCACACCTCCACCCTGCCCATTGTCCCTTACCTTGCTTCAGTCACTGAACCAACGATCCTACTGGAGTTCATGCGTATGCTGATGGAGACATTAGTTTTCTAGAAAAGCAAAGCCCACTTTAGCATTCCATTGGCTCCTGATTCAGGAGACAAATCTATAGCCATTGGAAACCCAGGTCCTATGGCTACATGGACAAAGGCTCCCCAGGATTACAGATGGAGGGTGTGGGGAGAGGGGATCCACAACTGAGAAGAGGAAAGCTGAGTTATGAACTCTCCATGTTAGTGGAAGAAGTGAGACAACACTAAGAACTGGTAACTTGTGAATGAGGGAGTCTTCCATTGGTGACATGACTAAGTGCTTTAGAGAAGGCGATGAAGAGGCCAAAGGATACTCAGGAAGCCCTGAGGCCCTGTAGAAGCAGACACCACCAACTGACATCCTTGAGGGGGAGGACTGCCCTCTTACTGAGTGTTGTGAAGTGTGGAGGTCCATGGGCACAGGACTTTGTTTTGCCTGAATCCACTTCTCACCAGGAAGTGAGCTCCCGCCTGTAATACCTGGTGAGTATGTTCGTGTCAGTATCCTAAAACACTTCCATTTATAACTCATTTGAAGGCTGGATTCTAGTGGCTCATGCCTGTATTCCTAGCTACTCAGGAGACAGAGACCTAAGGATCATGGTTTGAAGCGAGCCAGGACAGAAAAGTCTGTGAGACTCTTATCTCCAATTAAACAGTTAAAAAGAAATAGAGGTGGGGCTGGGAAGGTGGCTCAGTGGTAGAGCGCTTGCCTTGCATGCTTGAGGCCCTGGGTTCGATTCCTCAACACCACATAAGCAAAAAGAAAAAAAAAGCCAGAAGTGGTGCTGTGGCTCAAGTGGTAGAGCGCTAGCCTTGAGCTGAAGAGCTGAGGGACAGTGCCCAGGCCCAGAGTTCAGGCCCCACGACCGGACCCAAAAAAAAAAAAAAAATAGAGGTATGGCTCAAGTGGTAGAGCATCAGCCTTGAGTAGAAATAGCCAAGCAAGAACACAAGGCCATGAGTTCATCCCCCAGTAGGCACTGCCCTCTCCCAAATATAGGGAAGTATGTCTTTCAACTTTCTTTTTTTGAGATTGTGTTGGTTACTCAGGGCCCCTTGAACCACCATATGAATTTTAGGATCAGTTTTCAGAAAAAAAAAAAAATTAGCTGATCTTTTGACAAGGATTGTAAAAAAAAAAAAAAATCTAGCTGATATTTTGACAAGGATTGTATTTGTAAATCAATTTAGAGAGTACTGCCAAGCACTTAAATGTTCTTTAAAAAGGATAATTTGATCATTTTATTTATAATTTAAATAGAATGATGTTTAACTTTTTTAATGTAGAGTAAATAAAACAAACCAAAAAATTAAAACATTTCAACTGAGTGAACATGCTAGCTAGTGAGTGAAAGTGTCAAGAAGAAGAAGAAGAAAGAAGGAGCAAAAGGAGGAGGAGGGGAAGAGGAAAAGGAAGAGGAGGAGGTGAGGAGGAAGAGAAGGAGAGGAATCATTAAAGAATAAAGTGGATGACTAAGAAGTGTCTTGTGACTCAGATGGTCCATGACTTGTTACATGATGGTACATGAACTCTGCCTGCAGGAAACCTGGCTGTACAGTCCGGAAGGTAGAAACACTGAAGCAGAAATAGCCTTTCCATATCTGTCAGCTAGGTCACCATCTGTCAGCCAAGGGAGAACCTTTTACCCACGGTGACCATGCCCTTTGCTTCCTGACCAAGGCTACACTTACCACCCTGAACTGGAAGAGTGGCTTGCGTTCAGTGGAGTTGGGCAGGAGGGCAACAGCTTGAATGTTCATGACAGGTGTGAGGGTCACGTTCCCAGGGGTGAACATCAGGAGTGGTTCTGATTCTGGTGATGCCTCAAGCTCGACCTGCATATTACGGTGCAACCTGGACAGCTGGAGTGAGAGGAGAGACCAAGAGAAAAACAGAGGGACCTTAATAGCATTTGGGAAGGCCAGATGGAATTGAATTCTATTTTTCTTTTCTTTTTTTTTTCCAGTCCTGGAGCTTAAACTCAGGCCTGGGCACTGTCCCTGAGTTCTTTCGCTCAAGGCTAACACAGTACCACATGCCACTTCCGGCCTTTTCTGTTTATGTGGTTCTGAGGAATTGAACCCAGGACTTCATGCATGCTAGGAGAGCACTCTACCACTAAGCCACATTCCCAGCCTTGAGTTGTATTTTTCAGAGCTCCTTTCCAACAGAGAACTATCTTGGTTGGATGAAACACTCAGTAGATGGCTTGAATAGAAGTAGATGGCCACCCTACTGCCTTCCAGTGCTACCTTGTCTTGTCTAGAAGGCAAGTTTGGGACTGTAGCTTAACTGCTCTTTCCTATTCTCTCACCTCCCCCATCACTTTCCAGCATGGCCTTTAAATAAACATTAAAAAAAAAAAGGGTAATTATCAGCTTAGCTGCAAATGATTAGCCAGCCTAAGGTGCCCATGCATGTCTAAAAGGGCCTTTGTGCTAGTTGTTTTATCTCCTTTCTGAGCAACCCAGCAGGCAGGGCAGTTGCCGGTAAACAGATGAGGAAAATAAAGCCCAGTAAGGTTGAGTTCCAAAGCAGGAAATGGCAAACCTCAGATTCAAGTGCAGGCCATCCAAATCCTCATGCTGCATGTGTACTACGATTTAAACTCAGGGCCTAGACGCTGTCAGTAAGCTTTATCACTCAAGGCTGGTGCTTTATCACTTGAGCTACAGCTCCACTTTGGGCTTTCTGCTGGTTAATTGGAAATAAGATTCTCATGGACTTTCCTGCCTGTACTGGCTTTGAACCTCAATGCTCAGATCTCAGCCTCCTGGATATCTGAGATTAATCCACCATCACCTCGCTTTTCCTCTACCAATGTAATATTAAAACTCTACCTACATTCAGCTCATTGATGTCCAAACGGTCCCAGGATCTGGCCCAGCTCGAGGAGCCTGAGTTCTCACCTGAGGAACCAGGGCCTGGAGCATGTTGGTGTTGAGTTGCATTGGAAGGTTTAGGGGTCCCTGAAGCAGGGGAAGTAGGAAGTTGCTGGAATAGCAGAGCAGCATTGTCGTCAGAGGGGTGGATCCTGAGTTCATACAGTTTGGCTTCCCATTCTGCTTTCGCCATTTTTTTGCCGAGTCCTTGGCAGCCAGTGTTGTCAATCTCTTCAGCTGTTAGTGAAGGTAGTCACACTTACCCTCACTGGATGCATGGGTAGAATGCTCAGGGCTGTTAGTGATATTTGTTATTTCTTTAGGTGGTGACTAGAACTGATCATCCTATATAATCTGGATTTGTCTTAACCCTCTGCTTCTTCCCAGGTGCCAGGACTATGCTGAAGCCTCAGATCTCCACACTTGTTCCTTCTTCTTCTCTCCATAGGCTTCCTGAAAATTATCCTAATGACTCTTCCAGCTCTAATGCTGTCTTGTCATCTAGGAGGACCTTGCATGACACAGCCTCATAGCTATGCTAATGGGCAGCAGACTCCCAACCCCTCCTTCCTTTTTAAAAATTTATTTATTTTAATCTTAGGGGCTTTTTTGGTCGTGGGGCCTGAACTCTGGGCCTGGGCGCTGTCCCTCAGCTCTTCAGCTCAAGGCTAGCACTCTACCACTTGACCACAGCACCACTGCTGGCTTTTTCTGCTTATGTGGTGCTGAGGAATCAAACCCAGGGCCTCATGCATGCTAGGTAAGCACTCTACCACTGAGCCACTTTCCCAGCCCCTAATCTAATTTTTTTTTATATGACAGTAGTAGGGCTTAAACTCAAGGCCTCTCACTTTTTGCTTGGCATTTTTACTCATGGCTGATGCTTTCTATTTTGGGCTTTTTGCTGGTTACTTGGAGATAAGAGTCTTTTGGATTTGCCTGTCCAGGCTGGCTTTAAACTGTGATCCTCAGATCTCAGCCTCCTGAATAGCTAGGATTACAGGTGTGAGCCACTGGTCTCTGCCCCCTTCCCCAGCTTAAATTTTTTTTCCAGTAGGGGAATTAACCCCAGAGCCTTGAACATGCTAGATAAGCACTCCATCCCTTGGTACTCTCTCAAGCACTTTTGTTTGTATTTTATTCTTGAGATAGAGTCTCATTAACTGTCTAGGTTGGTCTTAAACTCTTAATCTTTCTATTTCTGTCTCCTGAATAGCTGATACTTCAGGTGTACACTTCTCCAACAAGCTATACCAAGCTCTTTACAGACAACAGCCCATGGACTCCCTAGCAAAAGGCATCATTAGGATTCATAGGGAAACTGGGGCATGGTTTGGGTTTGAATCTATGTTTGACAGGCTGCCAGTTCTACCTTCTTTCCTGGACTACTTATAGTATCCACAGAGCTACATCCCATCTGAAGCTCTCCTAGGGCCCTCAGCCCTTTTCTTCCACCACTCACGTGCTCATTTGTGATGGTGACATTCATGCGACCAGCCTGGTAGTACACCCTGCTGGCTGTGTTAAAGACATATTCAGAGACTGCGAAGTAAACCATGTGATCATACTGTTGGGGTAACATCAGGGCTGGGGCATCAAAGGGGACTGGGGAGCGCTGGCTTTGGCTGAAGAATTCACCCTGGAGAGAGAGAGAGAGAGAGAGAGAGTACTTATCAGTTACTGTAGTTTCTACCAGTGAGGATGTGGGACAGAAATGTCCAAAGCCTGCATGGGGGAGGTTTGCTGAGGCTCGGTGGCAGCTGAGTGATCGGTCTGTCCTGAATATAGGTAAGTGTCATGGCCCTACTTGCCTTTAGAGCCTGCAGCTGCCTGAAATTCCCCACCATCTCTGCATTCTCTCTCCCCAGCCCAGGATGGAGGAGAGGAGGTCCAGCACAGTAAGCAAGAGTGGGGACTGTGGAGTTATACCCTACATCCTTACTAGCTGTGGAACTTTGGGCAAGGTGTCATCTTCCTTTTGCCTCATGGTGTTATGGGATTTCACTGAGCTATTGTGGACCACTTCTCAGAACTGACACATAGAAGCAAGCATTAGTGAAATACTTAAGAGTAAGTCTCATTAGACAAAGTAGTCCACCAAAGCCTGGCTTAGCCCACAGGGGAGTGTCAGAATGAACAGGAGATGGAGAGGAGTGTATATAGGCATTCCTTACTGCTGTTATGACAGATAGCTACAATCTCAGTGGCTTTAAACAATACAGATTTGTTCCCTTCCAGATCTGAGGGCCTGTGCTTCTTGTGAAAACTTTAAGGACTCTGTCCTTTCCACCTGCAATCCTGCCCCCACCCCCTGTCACCTCACCCCCTTCTTCCATTCTTACCATCCTTGTTCTGTCTCCTGTCTTCCTATCCCAAGGACCTGGGTCACAATGAGCCCAGCAGGACAGACAAGGGTAATCTCTCCATCTCAACATTGGCACATTAGTTACACCTGTCCAGTCCCTTTTGCCATATGTAAGAGCATTTACAGATCCAAAGAGTTAGGATGTAGCCATCTTGGGGAGCCATTTTCCAGGCTATTGTAGGCGTAAGGCAGGTAACAATGAAGACACCTTATACACACACCATGGCTAAGTACTTGCTAATCTCTTTCTGGTCATTTCACTTTATCCCCACAATACGTGCAGGCAACCTTGTTACCATTCTATTTTCAGTAGAGGCTCAGAGATATTAAGCAATTTTCCTAAGGTCCCCTCAGTACATTTAGCAATAGAGCCAGGATTCAAACTCACCTTCTGGACTTGAGGGATTTACCATGTTGGCCCACAGACCCTCAACCTTAGGTGTTAGTCTGCAGTTCCTAATGCCCCATCTGCCCATTGTGGGCACCAGGCAGAGATGGAGACTAAGATGTAAAAGGACAGGAAAGGCAGGGGAGGAGCGACTCAAGGAGATGGGACTGATTTCCTAGCAGTACTCTGTTCTAAGCATGCGCCCCCACCCCAGGCCCTTACCTTGAAGAACACATTCAGGTCTTCAGAGGATACTTGGGGATTTTCTACCAATCTGTAGTCGATACCAGAAATCTGGTCAATTGTTGTGGTGACTGTGAGACAGGAAAGAGGCAGCCTTATGAACCAAGTGGTCCTGCACAGATGTGTAAACTCTGAGGAATTCATTCACATGGGCTATAGTCTTTGGAGGATAGAAATGGTACTGGAAGTGAGCTATGGTACTTGAAGCTAGAGATAATCAGGAGAGAGCAGGGAGAGAGATGTTGTCTTTTTTTTTTCTTTCTTGTACTAGAGCTTAAACTCAGAGCTTGGGCACTGTCCGTGAGCTCCTTTTGCTCAAAGCTGGTGGTCTACCACTTGAGCCATAGCAACTCTTCCAGCTTTTTCTGAGTAGTTTCTGCCTGGGCTGGTTTCAAAGAGTGATCATCAGATCTCAGCCTCCTGAGTCACTAGGATTACAGATAGAAGCTACTGGTACCTGGATCTTTTGTTATTATTGTTGTGGCTGTACTATAGTGTGGGTGTTATCTCTGAGCTTTTGTGCTCAATGGTAGTGCTTTTGAGCCACAACTCCACTTTTGGCTTTTTGGTGTTCAGTCGGAGATAAGGATCTTCCTTCTTAGGCTGGCTTTGAACTGTAATCTTCAGATCTTAGCTTCCTGAGTAGTTAGGATTACAGGTGTGAGCCACCAGTGCCTGGTGACATTGCTTGAACTCTGGGCCTGGGCGCTGTCCCTCAGCTCTTTAGTCCACGGTACTCTACCATTTGAGCCACAGTGCCACTTCTGGCTTTCTGGTGGTTTATTGGAGATAAGAGTCTCATGGACTTTCTTGCCTGGCCTGGCTTCAAATAGTGATCCTGAGATCTCAGCCTCCTGAGTAACTAGGATTGCAGGCTGAGCCACCAGGCCTGGCTCATTCATTCATTCTTTCAGTATTTTATGCCAGGCACAATTCAAAGGGCTGAAGAAACAGATGTAAGTTAGTCCAAGTCCCTATCCTCGTGGAGCCTGAAGTGGGTGGGGGAAACATCAAAATACTTGAGCTAATAAATATACAGTGCAGAGGGCAAGGCCAACCATATAATGGGGGGTGGGCAGAGCAGAAGCTGGTAGCCTGGCTTGGACAGGGACTCAGAGAAGCTTCCTGAGGAGGTGGGTGGACTGGGATCTGAAGGAGGAGTGCTGATGGGTGAAGGGGAAGAGGATGTGGAAAAGGACGTGCCTGGCAGAGGGAAGGGTGTGAGCAAGGACTTTACAGCAGGTGGGGCCTTGTATGTCAGAGGAACCAATGGGACAGGGAGTAGGAGGAACCTGGAGAAGAAGTGTGGCGGGTAGGGCCAGACCAGGCAAGGCCTTATCACCAAAGATTGGGCTGAGTTCTGAGAGTCAGAGGAGTCGCTGTGGATTTGAAGAAGAAAAGCAACCTGTGTGGCTGTTGAAGGTCCCTATGACCTCTGGGGGTAGGGCTAGGAGAGGCCTCAGGCTTCACCTAGGAAGCTCAAAGCACATTGAATTGTTAAATAACCCAGCCACAACCCACGTGTGACTCTCACCAGTGAATTTGTGATTCTCTGGGTACCTCATCCTGCCATCAGCTTTTGAAGTCCTTTCCCCAACCCCACAAACCCCACTACTCCATCTCCAACCCTGTGGATAGAGGGAGATAATAGGAGAAATTCTCCCAGGATTGCCTCAGGGGTTGATGGTTCCAGAGTTTCCACCGCTATGAATTCTGATGATAACAAGAAGGGGGTGGGGGTGGGGGGTGGGGGCTGGAACTCCAAACCTGGAAGACTCTGGAGATAGGGCGTCAGATTCGAGGCTGCTGACTTCCTGACCATCTCGCAGATCTGTGGAAGATAGTGAGAAGGCCGGTTGAGTTCTTCCTCCACCTCTCTGCTTGTTAGTGAACACCTCGTTTCCCCTGTCCTGTGCAGCTTTTGTGTGTTTGCTAGGTGGTGAGGGGTAGGATGGGAAGAAAAGAGGCCACTGTCCCCCTCAGTCCACAGCATGGAATTGGCAGTGACTCAAATGACAGAGTACCTGCCTAGCAAGCACCAGGACCTGAGTTCAAATCCTAGTACTATAATTTTATATCTATCTATCTATCTATCTATCTATCTATCTATCTATCTATCTATCTATCCATCTATCATATATCTATCTCTTTTCTTTCTTGGTACTGGTGATTGAACCCAGGGCATTCCACTTGCTAGGGCTAGGCAAGTGCTTTGCCACTTAGCTACATACTAGCCTCTCTCTCTCTCTCTCTGTGTGTGTGTGTGTGTGTGTGTGTGTGTGTGTGTGTGTGTGTGTGTATCTCCAGTCTTGGATGGTGGGCTCTCCCTTAGGTCCTATACATTTTTCACCAATTCCTTTGCCTTTGGCCAGAGAACCTCTCTGCAGAGCCATTTGGAACTTTGCACTCACAGCTCCAGGGGGCTGGAGCCAGTAATGGCATCTGAAGTGACCATTTCTTGGACTCAGCCTCCTTGGGCATGTGGTATCCAGATTCTTCTTGGTTCAAGTTTTCCCTATTTGTTTAGCAGAGATGACAACCTACACAGGACTGTTGGGAGCTTCAGTGGTTCTAGGAAAAGCCTCCCTCCCCTCCTCTTCCCCCCACTTTCCCTAGCTCTTTCCTGTACCAGGCATTACTAATAAGTCTATCACATCTCTCCATCCTCACATGGCATGGCAGATACTATGGCTGTTCCTACTTCATAGTCAAGGATCCTGAGGCTCAGAAAGCTTAAGACAGTTACGTAAGATATCACAGCCAGATAAGTATCAGATCAACCAACTATAGAGCTCACATAGTCCATGGTAAAGAGTTAAGGAGATAAAATACAATTGAAAGCTGGGTACTGGTGGCTCATGCCTGTAATCCTAGCTTCTCAGGAGGCTGAGTTCTGAGGATCATGGCCAAAGCCACAGGAAAGTCTGTGAGAATCTTTTTTTTTTTTTTTTTGTCTGCCCGTAGTGAGGATTGAACTCTGGGCCTGGGTTCTGTCCCTGAGCTCTTCAGCTCAAGGCGGCGAGCACTCTACCACTTGAGCCACAGTGCCACTTCCTCTGTGAGACTCTTATCTCCAATTAAGTACCAAAAAGCTGGACATTAAGGTGTGTCTCAAGTGAAAAAAAGAAAAGTAAAGTGAAAAGGAAGTGAGTGAAAAAGCTAAAAGGAAGCACTCTGGCTCTGAGTTCAAATGTCAGTGCTGGCACACATACACATACACACACACAAACACACACACACAAATTCAATGGATAGAGGACTCTGTCATGATGATAATGGTGAATGTGCTAGATTCATTGTGTAGCTATCTAATTGAATCCTCACCAACCATCTTCAAGTAGACGTCACTGTTTTCATTTTATGAGTGAGGAAATTGAGAGTCAAGTGGGTCTCTTAATGTGCTCCAAGGTACTCAAAGAGTAAACCAAAGATGCACTTCTCATTCACAGAGGCCTCGCCAAGGCCATGAGGCAAGAGGCATCAAAGTTCATCCTCACTACTGTTCTTTGGATGTACATTTGCTATGGGGACCAGGGGAGTCTTATTTAGGAAACCATATACCGAAGGTGAAAAAGATACCCTAGGTTTTCTCCTAAAAAGTTGTAAATTTTACTTCCTGGAAGTAACTTTTTACATGGTATAATTTCTCACCAATATTTCTTTCATGTTACCTACAATTAGATAATCAAATAACATACAGATGGTACTAAATGCCCATTTAGTATAGGTGATCACATAAACTGTGGCAAAGCCTTGACTTTTGTCTTTGCATGGGGAATGAGGAAGATTTAGTTATGCAAATTCTAATGACAACATACTTGAGCATGTTAATGACAACATGCTCCCAAATATCAAATATGTAGAGATGAATAATGTATATGCTATCTACCAATTGTATCTTTTTGTTTACCTTTTGTTCCAAGATTTTTTTGATGTTTTTTTCAATTCTTTGATGGAAGAGGTTTATGATCCAGCTAAAGAAAAGAGGAGGAAGGGTCAGGATACATTTTGAGACTCCCAAGGGGAATAACCCAACAGTGAGACCCAGACAGATGAGTTTATCCCAAGGGAAGATGACTCTTGTATGTATGATAGTGTAAACTTCTTCAGCACCTTTGTCCTGCTTTAAAACCCATGTCTTCATATTCAGCCTAGTTGTTCAATGTGGCTAACCCTACCCTTACCCTTAGCCTGACTCTGATATTGTCAATCACTGTCCAGTATGATAGGTTCAGGGATGAGCATGTGACCCAACATAGACCAATGAAAGCTCCAACCAGGGTTTCCCCAGGGGGTATGGAAAAGGGTGCCCTCTCTTGCTGAAACTGTGAGCATACGGGGCAAGAAAGACCCAGCTCCTGGTAACTATCTTTTCTAGTCTAAGATAGGGGGCTTGAACTCAGGGACCCCAGTTTTTGCATAACTTTTTTTTTTTTCTCAAGGCTGGCACTTGAACAACATCTCCACTTCTGGTTAAGTCTCTTGGATTTGTTTACCCAGGTTGGCTTTGAACCAAAAAACCTTAGCTCTCAGTGAGCCACAAGCGCCTAGCGTCTTTCTTTTTTAATGTTTGAGAGTCTCACTATGTATCCCAGGCCTTGAATTCATTATCCCCCTGGAGTTTTAATCCTCCTAAGGGCTGAGATTACATGTGTGCAGTGCCATGCCCAGCTTTGAGCCTTGATCTTGATAAGTCTTTAAACATTGGATCTTGGGTTTCACTAGATGAGCTAAATTAGGAGTGAGCTGGATGCAGAGACAGTGCTTCCTGTCCCCTATGAGTACATGGGGTCACTTACCTTAAGGATCCAGATATGTGAATGCTGACCTGGCCAATGGAGTTGCTGCAGTGGGTTACAGAGACAGTAGGGTGCCCAGACTGGTCCTTGCCCAAGTTCAGAGAAATGGAGATGGAAATGCCATCCATTGAGAGATCAAAAGTTCCCTGGAGGGTGCTGGTTGGAACAAATGAGAAAGCTATGCAATCAAGGTCATCCCTAAGGAAAAGAATCTAAGGATAATGACCTATATTTGCTCCCATGCTCCCACAACCTAGCTGTGGCTCTTTTTGTTGTTGTTGTTGATTTGTTGGTCACGGGACTTGAACTCTGGGCCTGAACGCTGCCCCTCAGCTCTTCAGCTCAAGGTGAGTGCTCTACCACTGCGCCACTTCTGGTTTTCCAAGTCATTTATTGGAGATGAGTCTCTCAGACTTTCTAGCCCAGGCTGGCTTTGAACTGGGATCCTCAGATCTTAGCCTCCTGAGTAGCTAGGATTACAAGCATGAGCCACTGGTGCCCAGCTTAGCTGTGGCTCTTGTCTGGGCCAATTTTAACAATTATAACACCCAGTGTGTATTGCTTTTTTTTTTTAATGTTCCAGGCACACTGCCAAATGGCTTACTTCTATTTTATTTTACCTATCAATTATTAGCCCCAGACAGAGAGACTGAAGTTTATGCATTCTTTTTTTTTTTT